CTAAATTTAGATTTTTTTGAAATCCTTATTTTAATGGCCAAGTAAAATTTACAATTTCTAAATGTTCATTTTACATATTAAGCTAAGTAGTCAAGACTTATCTAGTTATTACTTGAGATTTTGCTTCTTGATCAACTTGCTTTAACTTGACCTTTTGTTTTCAAAAATGCTTTGGCATCATCAAAACCTTATGTATATATTCTTCCATAGTGCAACTTGTATACTTAGACCTCCAAGTACTTAGTCTTGCACCAAAAAGAGAGAACCTTTTGTGAAAACCTTTATCACTCAATTTGAAAATTCTTTTGAAAATTTGTGAAAACCTTTCTTTTGCAAAAATGAGTGATCATTCTCATGATAGTAATGTGCATGGTCATCATACTCCTAGAAGTCATAGGAGTACTAAAGATGAACTTAAGGATCTTAAGGAATATATTAGGAAAAAAGAAATAAAAAATGAAAAAAATAATTAAACAATTAGAGAGTTGTTAAGCAGACTTGTGGTGGGAGGTGGATCTAGTAAACCCAAGGTCCATGAGGACCATGGGCCTTCTAGGCCCAAGAGGCATGATGGTGAACGGACTTCTAAGCCTTCTAGAGGAAAACATGAAGAAGAACACTCATGACCCAGAAGTCATCATTCACACACTCACTCATCTCCAAGGGAAGGGTTTTATAGTATTCACCATGATGATGGCTACTATCAAAGACTCCCTAAGCAACATAGGCCTACGCATGAATCAAGCCTTCTAAGAGAACCTAGAGTTGACCTTCCTCCCTTTCCTGGAAAGGATAACGTGGATGATTACTTGGATTGAGAGATGAAGGTTGAACAACTCTTCACTTGCCACAATGTGAGTGAAGAGAGAAGGGTTCCAATGGCTATCCTAAGCTTTTAAGGGTATGCCATGTATTGGTGGACTTCCCTTGAAAGGGAAAGAAGAACTCATCATGAGCCTTCGATTCAATATGGAATGAGCTTGAAAGTGCCTTAAGGAGAAAACACATTCCTCCTTATTTTGAGAGGGAGTTAATGGACAAGCTCCAAAGACTCTAACAAAGACACCTTAGTGTGGAGGAATATAGGCAACAAATGGAGTTTCTTATGATGAGGGTCGGTATTAGGGAAGAGGAGAGAACCACCATTGCTAGGTTTCAAAGTGGTCTAAACCTAGAGATTAGGGACAAGGTTGAACTACTACCCTATAGAGACCTTAATGAATTAGGTTAACTTTGTGTGAGAGTAGAACAATAACTTAAGAGAAAGCCTACCTTTAGGAAGGAATCTACCTCATACCCTAGAAAGGACTTCAAGAAGGAGGGTCACTCCTCCTATTCTAAAGAAAGACCACTAAAAGAAAAACAAAAAGAAAAGTATTCCAATGAAACTAGGGCTATTTCCATTAAGTGCTTTAAATGGTTAGGGAGGGGACATATAGCTTGCCAATGCCCCACAAAGAAAACCATGATCATTAGGGGCAATGAAATCCTAAGTGAGGAAAAAACTTCATTTTCTTCATCCTCCTCAAGTGAAGAAGATGAAAGCCTTAATTCTAGTGAGGAAGCACTATGTGAAGGTGACCTATTAATTGCTCAAAGGTTACTTACCAACCAACCAAAGGAACAAGATCAATTACAAAGAGAGAACCTTTTTATTCAAGATGCAAAATTTTTAAGAAAACATGTTCTCTCATTGTTGATAGTGGATCTTGCAATAATTTTGTAAGTCAAAGGTTGGTTGATAATCCTAACTTAACTACTATAGCTCATCCTAAATCTTATAAACTTCAATGCCTTAATGGGGATGGTCCTATAGAAGTTAAAGACTAAGTAAATTTACATTTCTCCATTGGAAAGTATAAAGATGAAATTTTATGTGATATAATTCTAATGGATGCAAGCCACATTTTACTTGGAATACCTTGACAACATGATAGGAAGGCCATTCATGATGGTGTTACAAACAAAATTCGCCTAGTCCACCTAGGCAAGAAACATACCTTGACTCATCTTTCACCTTCACAAGTGTTGGAGGATCAAGTATTTATGAAATTAAAAAAAAAAAGGAGAAAGAGAAGGTTCTAAAGTTAAAGGGTAGTGTCTCCTCCAAGAAAGTTGTTCCTAGAAGTGAATTTTTAATAAAACATTAATTCTATTAAAATGTCTTTTAGTTGAACAACCTCCTTACCTTCTCAATACTAAAAAGACACAACTCTTGGAAAAGAGTAAAGATGATAGTGTCTCCTCCAAAAATCTTGTGAAAAAGGAAAGTCACTTTTTTAATTCAAAATGATTGTAAAAACTTTTCTTCTTCACAAAGATTTTAGCTCTTTTTCTATTATTGCCACAGACTTAGAGCTTAAGATCCACAACCTAAATATTTTTGAAAATAAAGGATCTCAAGTTTTTAGTCCAGTGAAGAAGTGTACTTCACCTAGTTCTACTTCTTATGTTACTACTTTGGTGGTGCCCAAAGTAGACAACCTTTGTCTATTTTTAGGACTTCTTATACTTTAGTATTTGTAATAAAAAAACCATCCTTTGGTTTATATTGTTTATTAGATACATCTCATGGTATCTTATTTTCTATTTTTGATCTTATGGGAAGTTAAAACTTCTTTGAACTTAACTTAACTACTTTCCTTCAAGACCAAATTAGATTATATGATTCTTCTAAACTCTTTACACCCTCTTCCATGATGTATCTAACAAATAATAGGATCAAGAGTTGTATAGGTAGTTTCCTTATTATATTCACTTTTTTTTCTTGTAGGCTTCTAGGTTACTACATAGGGTACTTCAAGCAAGATACCTTAGTATGTACGAGTACTTCATTAGTTTCTTATTGTTTTAGTACTTTCATATTTTTAGGATTTAGTTTTACACTTAGACTACACTATAGTGAGGATTCTATTCTTATTTTTAGAGAACCCATCCTTCCTAGTCTAAGGACCCTTGTTAGGATTTTAGAAGGAATTCCTCATAGGGTGCACTTTTCACATGTATTATATGAATATATCATTCCTAATGCTTTGTTTCTTATTTTTGTAGGTGATGCTATCCTTGTGGAAGGACCACTAGATTTGAGAAAAAATCCTTTCAAAGGGGGAGGGTAGGATGGAAATCTAATCCCCAAGGATCCTTTTAGAAGAGGTAAAACCAAAAAGGGTGAAGGTTGATCCAAGAAGGCTCACACTTGAAGACCATTGGGCCTTTAACTAGGTCCACGGTTAGGAGGCTGGAGGAGGCTTCTACAGAGGAGGTGCTTCTTAGACCTTTGCTCTTCATGAGCATTGAGTATGATTCCTCTTATTAGTTTCTTAGCCTCCATTGTATATATATTGTATGATACTTGTACATAGTAGTTGCTTGTATAAGTATATTTTGCCTTTGTATTTGTGAGGCACTTTCTTTCTTTTATTTTAGGTTATCCTTTAGGAATTTAGGATATGTTACTTGGAGACTTTTGCTCTATTTGACCTTGTATTAAGGGTCATTCATTTTTGTATTTTCAATAGTAGAAGTGGGGTGACAAATAGCAAGGTGTGTAGGTGCAACTAGTAATTGGGTCAGAATTGGGCATTGGCCAAATTTTACATATTGGGCTTGTTTTGCTTCATCTTTTTTAAGGAATTAATTTAGTTAGGTCTCACCATCATATGGTGAACTTAACTAAACAAACTCCAAGTTTTTGGATTGAATTAAATATGGAAAAACAAGTAGGCTCTGCCTAGCTTGGTTCTTTGGCCGAATTGCTTGGTTTCTCTTACACACTTAGGAAGCTTGTGCTACAAGCTTCTAACTTAGCTTGCTTCCCAAGCTTCTAAGTTAGAAGCTTGCTCCACAAGCCTCCTAAGCTAACTAGACCGGTCAAGCTAAGCTAATCATGGTTCTCTTGAACCATAGTTAGCCTAGCTTGCACCATAAGTTTCCCCCACGCTATATAAACCTTTTTCTTACCTTTGTAATCACTTTTGATGAAATATAGAGTGAATTCCAGATGAAATATAGAGTGAATTCCAAAATTGTTCAGCTAATTTCTCTCTTCTAAAAGTCATTAACATCTTTGATATTCATCCAATCCTCTTATTATCTTCATACAAGAGTGTAGTGAGGATTGAAGTGGTTTATCTCTCTTCCAAGGAGTGATGCCTTTTGAAGAGTGTTCTTCACCAAACCTTCTCTTCCATTAGAGGCTTTGGAAAGCTTAAGGAGAATTAAGGAGCCAAAGGTCTAGGGAAAAACTTGAAAAGGAATCAACATTCCGATTCTACTCCAAGTTTTCCATCACCTTGTTTGTTGCCTAGAGGAAGGGGTTGGTAACTAACTAAGCCTTTTTTTGAGGAGCCTTAAGAACTTGGTCGGTTACTAGTCGGGGGTGGTTGGTCGACTTGTTTTGTTGGCAGAAAACTGATACAATACTAATTTTTATTTTATATTTATTGAAATTATAATGTTAATATCAAAAATAACTCTTAGAATTCTACATGTAATATTCTAACTCCATTACTAGGCTAACTTATTAATTTTAATCTTCTTTAATTCTAAATTTTAAGAATTGAATCTCATCCCCAAAATTAGTCTGATTTCATACCAGATCAAAAGTATCGGAATTTGTATAAATATCTCGGAATTCTACAAGGGAAGCCAAATTAAACTTTTATATTTGCCTTCGTCGATTTTTCTAATGATGAACAGCACCAATTAAACTTCAAACAGCAATTAATTTAAGTCATCAACGAATCAATTTTTGCATCAGTTTCGTTTATTCACATCAATATTTAATTAAACTACTGATGTCAGTAGAATTACTTGGTCAGCTTAGAAATAGGGTTGGAAAATATGGATTCTTAGTTATCTTCATTGTTTGTTGTAATTTCTATAGATAAATAAATAAATAAATAAATAACTAGTGATGCTTATATATATCGCCTACTTCATTGTTTCTTGTGAACTCTCATCTCTATAGTCCAATAACTGATAAAATAAAAATAATCAGAAGTCATTAGAGAAAACCAAATTTGTGAGATTTAGATACTAGTCTACTGACAATGCCTGGCTTGGCTTTTGCTATTGTTTTCCTTTTGACTTCATATGCAGCGTTATCTTCTCTTGACCATTCAACCCTTGGCTGCAATGGAGAAGAGAGGCAAGCACTTCTAAGGATCAAAGCAAGCTTCAAAGATCCATCATTAAGGCTTTCCTCTTGGAAAGAAGGAAGTGGTTGTTGCCAATGGAAAGGTGTAGGTTGCAGCAATATTACTGGACGTGTTGTAACCCTTGACCTCAGAAATCCTTGCTTCCCAAAAAGGGACCAAGGATATTTTCAACCAGACTGTTCCTTCTACAAAAATGCTCTTGAAGCTCCACATATTCATCCTTCTATAGTGCAGCTTAAATACCTCACTTATTTAGACTTGAGTGGAAACGATTTTCGTAAGAGCTCAATACCAATGTTCATCCAATCTATGGAGCACCTGCAAGTTCTTTCTCTCTCTGACTCTGATTTTTCAGGGAGGATCCCTTACTATCTTGGGAACCTCACTAAATTGACCCTTCTTGATTTCAGCTACAATCCTCATTTGTATGCTGATGACTTCAATTGGATTTCTCAACTTTCATCACTGCAATCCCTTTACATGAGTGATGTGAATCTTGGTAAGGCACAAAATTTGTTGCAGAGACTCAACATGCTTCCTTCTTTGTTAGAAATAGAATTGATAAATTGCACACTAAACAAGTTACACACTCATCAACTTGTTAGAGTCACAAACCTTTCCAGAGTGAAAGTCCTCAATCTAGCAGAAAATGAACTTCAAACTCCATTTTTGGATGCTTTTCAAAACATGACTTCCATTGCGGTGATTAACCTTTCTGAAAACAACCTGAATTCCGCTCCATTCTGGCTGGCAACCTGTATTAACCTTCTCGTTCTATCTATTCGAAGTAATGATCTTTCTGGTTCACTTCCATCTGCTTTACAGAATCTGACTTCCTTGACATGGCTCGACCTTTCAGAAAACAATTTTGATTCTGTTCCACTCTGGTTAGGTGAGTTAAAGGGTCTTCAATATTTCAATCTTTCCGGGAATGATGTAAATCATATTGAGGGATCTCTAGCATCTATTCTGGGAAATTGTTGTCTTCTTCAAACATTAGATATGTCAAGAAACAAGGTTCGTGGAGCTGAACTTGGAGACCATATGCAGTCTGGATGCCTGAGGTATGATTTAATGCAACTGGATTTGAGTAACAATGAATTTAATGATAGTTTGCCAGCATGGTTGGGGAAATTTGAAAATCTAAGTGACTTGCTTATATATGACAGTAATTTGGTCGGGACCTTTCCTTGTGATATAATAACAAAACTTGTCAATTTGAAGAGTTTGGTGCTTTCCAATAATAACTTCACCGGGTCTCTACCTGACTGCATTGGGCAACTTCTCAATTTAAGCACTTTGAGTCTTTCTTCTAATCATTTTCATGGTGCCATTCCTAGGAGTCTAGAGCAACTTGTAAGCCTAAACTATTTGGATCTTTCAGGAAACTCTTTCAACGGTACTCTTCCTCAGAATATTGGTCTACTTAAAAATTTGATCACACTCTATCTTTCTGAAAATATTTTACATGGAAATATTCCCCATAGTTTTGGTCAACTTCTGAACCTGCAAAACTTAGACATATCTCTGAATCATTTGGAGAGTTTGGTATCTGACATAAGATGGCCCAAGCAACTTCTCTACTTGAACCTCACAAATAACCATATCTTTGGGTCACTTCCCCAAGATATTGCGGATAAGTTGCCCAATCTTACTCATTTTCTTCTTGGAAACAACCTTATAAGTGGTTCCATTCCAAAGTCATTGTGCAAAATAGACTCCTTGTACAATCTTGACCTTTCAGGCAACATGTTATCTGGTGAAATTCCTAATTGTTGGAGTGCTATTCAAGCAAACCTCACTGAGATAAATTTGGCATCTAACAAATTATCTGGTGCTATTCCAATCTCTTTTGGTAACCTACCCACGTTAGCATGGTTGCACTTGAACAACAACAGCCTTCACGGGGGGTTTCCATCATCTCTGAGAAATTTAAAACATCTTCTAATTTTGGATGTAGGAGAGAACCATATCTCTGGGACTATACCTTCATGGATAGGGAACATTTTCTCATTGCAGATTCTAAGGCTACCGCAAAACGGGTTAAACGGACCAATTCCTTCACAACTGTGTCAGCTTTCTGCACTGCAAATCTTGGACCTTTCAGGCAACAACCTGATGGGTCCAATCCCTCACTGCATTGGAAATCTCACAGGAATGATTTCAGGACAGAAATCTTTTGCCACGCAATCTGGTGAAGGGCCTAGAAATCTTGAATGGTATGAACAAGAGGTCAGGCAGGTGATAAAAGGAACAGAACTTGACTATACCAGAATTCTAAAACTGGTAGTCAACATGGATTTGTCAAATAACAGTTTGAGTGGATCTATTCCTGAAGGAATAACATTGCTTTCTGCATTCCATGGCCTAAATCTATCATACAATCATCTGTCAGGACACATCCCTGAAAGGATAGGGAACATGAAATCACTAGAATCTCTTGACATCTCTCATGATCAACTTTCAGGAAGGGTTCCAGAGAGCATATCAAGTTTAACTTCGTTAAGCCACTTAAATTTGTCCTACAACAACCTTTCAGGATCAATTCCCGAAGGAACACAATTGTCAACCCTCGATGATCCTTTTATTTATGCTGGCAACCCATTTCTCTGTGGACCTCCACTTCCAAATAAGTGTTTTCGTGATGATTCCCAACATGGGAATCAAGATGAAGATGAAGATGCCAAAAAGGATAAAGTAGAGAAATTGTGGTTTTACTTTGTTGTGGCACTTGGCTATGCTGTTGGATTTTGGACTGTGATTGGAAGCTTATTGATGAAGAGAAGTTGGAGGCATGCTTACTTTCAATACATCGATAAGTCAATGCAGAGGATAAATGTATCATGGGCAATACATTTAGCAAGTTTTAAGGAAAGATTTACAGGAAACTCTGTTGCTGAGTGACACATTATTGCAAGTCTTTTATGCCTTTTGTTTCTGTTTTATGCCCTTGAAGGATTTCATGTTTATTTTGTTTCATAAATAATTCCTTCGCCTTTGTAAAATAGTAGTAATGCTACTTGTAGAATTTCAGTTGTCGTGCAAATAGTGTGTGATGTTTTGTTTTAGTTTTATTAATAAATGCAAAAATGTTGTGTGCTTTAGATTTTTGCTATCCATTATCAGTAATCCTAGTCTTGCTTTATGATTTGAAGAAAGTCATACACCACTTATCATACCTAATATATACGTTGGCACCCTAATTTTATTTATTTATTTTAATAGACTCTTCAACCATCAAAATATTGCATAATAACTAGATATTTATTATTGTTTTGCCTTAATTTAATGTTAAGGTTTTGACAATATTTCACTTTTTTTATTAAGCCTACAACAACCAATAAAAATATAAAAAGAATGAAATTAATACAAATAGACTAAATATGAATGTTGAAGATATGCATGGCCATGCTTAACTTATGCACAATGGTGCTTCAAGAGAAGCACTCCCAAACGCACAATCATGTTATGAAGCACAACCGTGCTTACTAATATGCACGATCATTTTCCCTTCAGGATGCTACTGGATAGCACAACTTGCTTTCAACACCAATGAAGCACAGTTGGGCTATAAAGCATGTTCGTGCTTAATTACCTATAAGCACGCTCGTGCTTCCTGCCTTTATAAAACATGTCCATGTTATTAAGCATGACTGTGCTTTTTGAGATGTATGGTTGTGCTTAAAACTTTGTCCTGATTTTCTAATTATGAATAAGGATGTCTAGATCACATTGTTTTGATCTAGTTTTTAGCTTTAGTTTTTTTCTATATTTTTTCTCATTTGTATTTGTTATTGAGGTTCTATAGGATGATAAATGTCAAACTCTCATGGTCGGATTCTTCTAATTTAAGTTAATTCTTTTCTTATGTTTAATGGGTTTTAATGATATGTGTGGTTAGTTCCTCCATTTTATGGTTTTGAAGTAATTGTTCCTTGTGCACCTCAATTACGAATCCATGAATTGTTTGCTTTTATTGTTGTATTATTTTAGTATTTTATTTTTTATCTAATTTAATTAGAAGTACACGATCAAATTCTTTTAATTAACAAAATCTTAAAATAATTTAACTATGAAAATGTACGTGATCAAACTATTTTCTTAATTTTCAATTGAATTAATTTATTAATTCTCTTTTGCAGGCATATACTTTTTTTTAGAATAAAACTCTTATAATCAATTTAGATTTTTTTTTAAATAAAGATTGTTGGCTTCTTATAACCATAGGGTTGCCAACAATTTCAAAAGTAAAATTGACAATATTATTTTGTAATTTATGAATTTTATCTTGGAGGAATCGAGAATAATAAGTCATAACTCTAGGACTTTTATCTCTAAATTTTAATGACAATTTCTCTAATATTTATTGAGTTAATCACTTATACATAATACAATGCCAGTGTAAAGTTTTTTTACACCGACAACCAATTATATCTTTTAATTGTGTCATGTCACTATTAAAAGTAAATGTGTTTACAGTGACATGGAACAATTAAAAAATATAATTGATTGTCGGTGTAAAAATTTTTTTACACTAGCAGTGTATAGGTGATTAACTCATATTTATTCTTAATTTTTAAGTCATTAATTTCTACAAATCAATTTTTCTTTCTTCAAACTGCTAGAAACCAAGAATAAGTTGATAATTATTTGAATCTAATTCAATATCTAAACTTTATCCATTGTTACAATTACAATAAAATACACTTACCTTTAAGCACATTTTAAACATAACAAAGAAGATGTTGAGACAATCCTATTTAAAATAAATAGAATCACTTCATGCCGCAAAACTCTCTTATGTGTATTTAACATGTTTATTGACAAATGATTTTGTGGTAAACCTTTAAAAGTATAATAAATATATGTAGTTGCAAAAGATGGGTACCCATAGTGCCTCCAATCATAATGTTTGTTTCATCCACCTTTCTAACTTTTTCTATTCTTTTGTTCAAATAATGTTGAACACGTATAAGTAGTTGGTTTAGACTTTTCTGTTAGTTGTTTGAACAAGTCTTTAATAGTGTGTTTGCATGAGAAATTTAAATGGAGTAATTCATTTATTTGAAGAATTTCAAATTCTTTAAGGTGAAATACCTTGTTTGGATGAAGAATTTATAAAGAATTTAAAATTCAAGCATTTGTGAAATTTTTTTGAAATAGTAGAATTTCAAATTCTTCCAAAAGAGTAAGAATTTGAAATTTCTCATTTTTTTCTTCTTATTTCACTTATATATTTTATCTTATATGTTATCTCTTCATGTTTTTAATTATTAATTAAATATTCAAAAATATATTTAAAATTATTAAATATTATCTAACATTAATTTTTAAAATTATTACATATTTAAAAATTAGCTAATATTTATTTTTATAAAATTTAATTTAAAAATATCAACATATAAATATATTTTTTAAATAATCAAATTTGTCATAGTGGAATCAAAATTATCATATACAACCTAACAATTTAAAATTTGAGAACTTTGAATTAACTTATCCAAACAAAATATTTTAATAATGATAGAAATTGAAATTAAAGTAATTCAAATACCAAAAATTTAAAATTCCTTGAATTTGTAAATTTTTCACCCCCAATTTTATCAATCGAGAAACCCAAACCCAAACCCGAACCCGAACCTAATAAACACGGGTTTTCCCCATCTAAATCAGGACGGATTCGAACGGATACCCACAAAATAAATTAGACTGTCATGTCTACATAAAGTCATTCATTGCCATTGTTGCTCAACAATAATTATAGGGGATACACACCAAATATTAACTTTACAAGAGGTAAATACTTGATAACAAAAAAGACAACTAGCTTTCCTTCTTTGCTAGCTAATCCTTGTGTTGTAGTGTCCCATCCAGATTTGCAATAGGATATTATTTTTTTCATCAATTTCTATGCTTTTGAGGAAATAAATGATACTCTTCGTTGTGTGTATCATATCTATTTTATTTAAATTCTTAAAAGCACAATAATGGAAGCAATGAAGAGAATATTCCTCCGATCACTACAACAAAATTATCATACAGTGATACACACCCTATAGTGACATTATATATGTCACTAAAAATTACTTTCATCCACACAATAACTACAATATATGTTGGTATATTATTAAAAATTGTAAGTATAGACTATAAATATATTTTTAAATTTCATTCAAAATCAACAATTAAATTGTGTGTAACTATATTTTAAATAGAAATATATTTACATATATTGTACCTATAGTGACACTTTTTGTATGTCACTATATGTAACATTTCTTGTTGGGGATAGTGAAGACTTTAAGTCAGATTGTGTTTCACCTTTCTCAATTCTAGATGTGTCTTAATTTCCTTCACCATCACTCCCTTGTTGCTTTTTAGAAGAGACTTAAAATTTGTTTAAATAGTAGAATCATAGTGAATAAAGTGCATGAAGAACCAAAATTTGTACGCTTGGAAAGTGTTCCAAAGGGAATCACTTGCATTTTAAATGATTATTATAAAAACATTTATCAATAAATGATCATAACTTATTTCCCGGGTACCAAACACCCAAGGGTGCCAATTACCATAACTATCCCTTACAATTGGGTATGCCAAGTGGTGTTTGTGCTATCATATTTTTTCCTCAAATCAACTTCCTACAAATATTGAAGTCTCAGATTATTGATGAATACGAAAGCCAAAGATGATATTTTACAAATCATTAGCTGAAAAAGCGCAATACCGAGCACACTATTGTCATGACAATGAAAATCTTACAATTAGCATTGTTAGTTTTTAACAAGAGGGGAAGCAACTTGTAATCAAGCAAACTAAACTTGAAATCCTCCAAGGGCCAAAAACTAAATGTTAAAGGGCATAAAGACATTGTGCCACTCAATAACCTTTTACCTATTTTTCTTATACCTCGTTAAATGTATTGCAAATGTTACATTTACTGTAGATGTCTACAATTCCTGCTCATCAGTAAGCATCCAATCACGACCAAAAATCCAATAACATAGTCAAGTGCTATGACAAAGTAAAACCAAAAGTTCTCTACTTTATCGTCTTTGTCGTCTTCATCTTCACCATGTTTGGAATTATCAGTAGAACATCCATTTGGCAGAAGAGTTCCACAAAGAAATGAGTTGTCGATATAAATAAAAGGATCATAAAGGCTTGACAATTGATTTCCTCTGCAAATTGGTCCTGAAAGATTGTAGGACAAATTAGGTGTCTTAGCCAAGTTAAACTTGATATATATTGTCCGAATACTACTAGAATTTTTTTTTATTACATGCAACTTTTCTTGCGGATTTTTATAAAAAATTTACAGAAAACGTTGTTCTTACTAATTTTTCTGCAAAATTTTATTCGTAGGTAATACATTTGTGGATAATATATTTTTGCGAATTTTAAAATTTGCAAGAAATTTTCCTGCGAAATTTCTTGCGAAAAAAATTTGCAGGAAAGTTTCTTGCAAAAAAAATTTATAGAAAAATTCACAAGAAAGTTTCCTGCAAATTTTTTCGCAAGAAATTTTGTAAGAATGTTTTTTACGAAAAAAAATTACTATAAATTCTATCAATAATTCTTCAACTTTCAAATGCTCACAATGAATTCATCCGAAACATTTGTTTCCTTGCCTCTAACATGTGATACCTAATCTTTTAAATTATAAGATTGTAGATTATAAGCCTAACACTCAACCATACAAATCAACTTGTAATGTAAGTGTTGCCCCAACTTATATACACTTTAATTGTTTTATTTTCAATCGATATGGGACTTGAAGTTTTTCTAAAATATTAAACTTATAAATTTAAATATTTTTTATTTTTCCTGCGGATTAAAATTGACAGGAAAAGTTACCTGCAAAATTTTTCTACCATTTAGTAAACATTACTTACGAATTTATTTTTGCAAGAAAACCTACAAGAAACAAAATAAAATTCTTACAATATTTTCTGCAAATTTTTACCATAAAAAAAATTTCTATGATCATTAAAATTATATCAAAATTTGCAAAAAATTTCTTGGAAACTATTTTTCGTAAAAAAATTTGTAAGAAATATCTGTAAATTATTTTTCACAAATAAATTCGTAAAAAATT